TTTGATCACTTCATTTTGATTTAATGCATCAATCCAAATATAGTAGTCTGCATAATTAGGATGTTTATTAATGGACTCATTAAACCAAAAGTGTTTATCACTGGTATGATTAGGAACAAAATCTATGATGATTTTTATATCTATAACATTATTATTTTGTATCATATACATACGTCATATACATCATATCATATCATATACATCGTAACTATAATAGTTTGAGTTTAGTTTAATTTATTGTAAATTGACATATTGTTAAATAAGCTTATATTATATTATAGTACATTATCCACTAACTTTTTGAATGTGCAGTATTTAAAAGAACCTTAAAATCATTCATTGTACCAAAAACAGGGTTTACAGCTAGATAATCGGTTGTGTCGTAGCCACCAGATTCTAAAGGTGATTTGAAACATGGCGTTAACCAAATTGCGGTCACTCCTATATCGACGAGGTAATCCAATTTTTGAGTTATACCTGATTAAAAAAAAAAAACAATTTTTTTAACATGATTCACATAAATATCGGTTACAGTTCATAATACCTTTAAAATCACCCGATCCATCACCATTCGAATCTTTGAATGACAATGGGAATATTTCATAAACTATTGAATTTTGCCACCAATCCAATTCATTAATTGGTCGTACCAATACTTTACAATACGTTAATTGTATGCAGGTAATTAACAACAGAGTCCAACGCATTGTTGTCTTTAGCTATGACTATCTAAAAATAAAACAGTAAACGTAATGTTGAAATGACTTGTTGAAAAGTCTATTTCATTTTGATTTCATCATTACAATTTCTCGTATTTATATAGACAGTGTTCAAGGTAGAAAATAATTTTTTTTATACTTATCTAAGTTATAAATGTAACTCATATAAAACTAACTTAAATATATAGAATTGATTCAAAAGTTAATGTAGACATTTATGTAGTCTGATTAATGGAACTATTGTTAACAAATATTAATAATCATATTATTCTACATTATCTTCTCAGATAATAAAACTAATCACTGATTATTAAAAGTGAATTATTAAATCATTTTTTATTGTGTTATGAAACATAAGTTAGGCTTATAATAAGAACATAATTTATAATTTTGTCGTTTTTTTTTCATTAAAAAAAAATGTAGGAGCTTATAGATTAAGAGCAGCTAACAATTTTATAGCTGTAATTAAAGTTTAAGCAATGTGAAATAAAAATTTAAGATGATTACAAATGATTATAAAATCACGAGTAAAATCAGAATAAACTAATGACAGATAAACTATATTAAATATTTCTATTTAAATAGGATTTTTACGACATTAACTATTTTTTCCGGCACTATAATTCAGTATTGTCTATAATATCAATAATTTGTGTTATTTTATAGGTACTCACTTGAGCTCAAAGCTTGGTAACATATTTTAAAGTTGGTGAAAAATTCTATAAAATAGCACCATTCTTAAACATGTGCTTTCCTTAATGAAGATCTAAGCATTACTTTTATCCAATCATTGAGTTTTAATTATTGAATCATTAACATAATGAAGTGGTAGTATGGAAATATTACTAGTTTAGCGATGCATTATAATTAAGCTAGGTGTGTGTGTGTGTGTGTGTGTGTGTGTGTGTGCGTGCATTTTTTATGCTAAAAACATTTTTCATAGGTATACAAACAGTGGGCAAGAAATATCCGCTCTGTTGTACAGTTGTAATAGTCGAGTGTATTCATCATTGAGTAAGTATTTGTAATGGATGTGTTTAATTTTGGATTGCAGATAAATCATTGATTCTGAACAAAAACTGTCTATCAACATATATTACTAAGTATACCGATTTATTATTTATTATTTGATAATATATTTTTAATGACATTATATTAATTTAACTATTAATATTTTAATTTTAAGTTTTCCTCAGTTCGTGTTAGTCAAACTTATACTGATACGGACACAAATATTATGTTTGTGTACAATTGGTACCTATGTAATTATGTAATGCTAATATAAAAAGTAGGTTATATTTTTATTTCCATTGCAATATAGTTGTATGACTATTCATTTTTTTTTCTTYATATCGTCGGTCGAGTGGAAATTTATGTTTAAATCGATTAGCATATTTATTTTCAGATACACTCACAATAAACATACACATTTTTTTATAAACAATGGAGGAGCATTTGATATTATCCTCAGAACTTTTGATTGAAAAACTTGGATTTTGTTTATGTAAGTTATTCCACAATACTCTTTCACTGTGCATAGTGATAATGAGTGCAGGATTCGCTTATACCATATATTTGAGCGAAAATCACTATTCTACGGTGATTGAATTTATTTTGGCAGAAAACATTTCATTTATTATACATATATTATTCGAATTTAATTATATAAATGTTATGTGTTATTATATATGATTATTTATTAGTTGTTAGTTGTATCATATATAATTATTATTAACTTAATACCAACTTACCGTAGAATAGTGAGGATGGATTCATAGTATAAATAGGCAATAGCTTAAAATGTATTTAAAAAGTTTGAAAATGTCATGGTATACCTGATTTATATTTTTTGTACATTTATATTCAAACAATCAAATATTATAATATACAAAAGAGCACCAAATTTCTTAGGTAATTTATTTTTGATATATTTACRACCATAAAATAAAATCAATTTTGTCAATAACTGGTTCATGCGAAAATCTCGTTTTTCCATGGTTATATTAGGGAAATAGAATTTTACTTCTTAAAATTGAAGACCTAAATATTTTATCCACTATAAAACCTGTACAAATTCCATTCACCCCCTCTCAAACAAAATCACACATCATTGGAAAAACAATTCATTGATAACTCCACTCAAAAATTAATAAGAAATGATAAATACTATTTTGTTTTTATTATTTCATTAAATCTATTAACAATTTTTACTATATAGTTAGATTCATAAATAAATTTGACAAATCAAATAATGTTTAGTGACAGGATATTATAATTGATAAAGGCTGACATTTAGCAGATCCAACTGACCTGGTATGTTTTAGATATTATTGTGAACTCTTCTATGCACATTATCACGAAGTGAGGAGGATAGCTGTTTAATTAAAGGGTTTACTGGGAGAGTTAAAATTAGTTCAAAATTTAAAATAATATAATTGTTCTAATTGATTTATCGTAAGAATTTTTAAGCTATCGTGAAGATTATTGTTTGTAAAATACCAAARWGATGATGTTAATAGTCTTTAGCAGATGGATTGAAATGCAAGAAGTMTTTTGGTGTTGGATAGAGCCCCATAATTGAATGCYATATGTCCAAACTGGAAGAATTATTGACTTGRTATGGTAAGTTTATAAGTTAGGATTTTAAGAAAAAAAAACAGGTAAGTGGATATCACTCTGCTGTACATTAGGTGGTGGGGTGGACCTCTGATTAGGGTAGGTTAGATTTGAATGCAATTATAGGTATCATTGTATACGAAAAACGATTCTGAACGGAGATGATTTGTCAGTCTAGGATATATTATATTTAAAT